AGAAAAATTAGATTCACATGAGGCCACTTTGTGGGGCTACTTCAGGATTAGTGTCCTTATGGGAAGAGGAAGACTAGAGGCCCCTCCTCCCTACTACATAAGGACAAAGTAAGAAGGCACCTATCTGCAGCCAGCGAGAGGGCCCACCCCAGAATCTGCCCACACTAGCACACTGAACCCTGGCTTCCCATCCTCCAGAACTGTTAGGAATCTATCTATCCACATTGCAAGCCACCTGGTCTGGGGTATTCTGTTTGCAGACTGTATTCACTAAGACATGGAGAGACTGCAGTTATGGAGTAAGACTGAAAATGTATACCTCAAGCAAACAAGGATGGAAAAAACCCCACCTCAACAGGTGTGCCAGGTCTTACACTATGCTCTTCCCTTTCACTGGCCCACCTAAGTTTCCAGGTAACTCCTTAATAGCACTCCCACTTAACAGATGGGGAAACTCAGGGACTATCCCCTCTGTTCTGCAGTGTCCTCACCTGGAGTTTTCTCTTCTTCCTTGAGAGGCTCCCCGTCCAGTCGCTGATGCGTCGCATTCTGCCTTTGAGGGTGTCCTTCTTTGCAGTATCCTCGGTTAAGGCTTTGGACTTCCGACAGGGGAGGGTAAAGGAACTGTACTGGACAGGGTCCCTGTGCTCCACCCTGGAGGGCACATCAATGTCAGATGCAAAAGAGACGCGATTGCTTAGGCTGGTGTGGGAGCCAACATAGTCATCAGAAAGGCAGAAGCCAGAGGGGGAATGGCTCGCAAGGCTGGCATCTTTGTATAGATCCCGAAGGGAAGACAGGGAAGAGCTTTGGTTGAAAGGCTTTTTGGCGTCACTAGGTGGGAAGTTAGTGGGAAGGCTGGTATCAGGTGCGCTGGGAGCTAGGAAGGAGCCGTCCACCTCACTCAGCTCCCCAGCATTGCCCCAAGGGGAGTCGTACCAGGAGGACTCAGAGCTCAGTGAGCTGCCTTTGCTGGAGCGCAGGCGAGCGTCAGTGGGAGAAGGGCGCTGGCTAGCCGGGGAGTCAGCACCGGAGTCCCTCCTGGCTTCCGGCACAGGGGAGGTTTCTGATGCCAATGTAGGTGAGTACCTCAGCAGCTGCACTGGACCCCTGGGATCCTCTGCAGGCCCTTTGCTGTGGCTGGCACCATTGTGGAACTCGACCCTTAAGCACCCATCCAGCTTCCCCAGTGTCTTGATGAGCACTCTGGGGCTTCGGCGGTCTTCGCCTGCTGGGGTAGAGGCAGCACTCTCATTTCTCCCATAGCAGTTGAGGAGGTGTCCATTGCAGTCACTTGAGGTGATGTGGTTGTCTGCTGGCTTGTGGTCATCGTAGTGGAAGCCATTCCCCAGGGAGAAAGCAACACTGCTGCCCTGGAAGTCGATTCCTGAGGAGCTCGCCCTGTGCTTGGCATAGGTGATGCCTTTAGACACTTTGCACGTGGGCCCACTGAGTCTTGATGCATAAGGCTGATGACTCTTAAAGTGAGAAAGGCAGCTTCGGGCCAGGGACCTGGACTTGTAACCTGCTGCGCTGCTTCCTTGAGTCCAACTGTGCAATGACTTCTCATCTTTTGCATGAATGCTGCGTATTTTCAGGGAGCAAGGCTTTTGCTTAGCACCAGTAATAGTATTGCTATGGTTTTTAGATCCTTGAAGGGTGTACTGACTCTCGGAGTTGCCCATTTTAACCTAAATTAAGTACAGTCACATCAGTAAAAGCCATATAAAAGTAAAAGTAAAATCATATCCCAGTATCACTACCCTTTCTAAAGAATAGGTCTAGGAATTACACTGGAAATAAGCAACTTCCTTCTGTGCTGACCCCGTTCAGGAACAGAGAGACAGAGTTACTTACTGAGTTGGCTCTCCGGATTGTGCAAGGCTACTGTTACACACTCATGTGCTAGTTATTTCAAACACATTCTTTGTAGCACAATGTCATTGCAGAAATTGAGCAGGCATAAAAATCAGCTGAAGGCAGAGACCTCCTTAGATCTTGAACTGACAATTCCTGAAAAGAAAAATAAACAAAGTGTGAGTTGTTATCTCTTCCAGCTATTAGTCCAGACACATGGTCTTTGAAAGACCAGAGAGATACATTTTATCACATGCCATTGACTAGAAGAGGTAACTTACCATTAATATTGGGGAATCAGATACCAAAATCCTCATATTTTCCAGACCCTTACATATAATGGTATCGTAGTACTTTCATACTTTGGTATTTGATGCCTTTGAAAGTCACAAAACTTGGTACTCAACATATTTTAATGAAAAAACTTGTCCTGCTACTCAGAATTTATTTGATATTCAACACATAAGCTAGAACTGATTGCCTTATGACTTTCCAGCCAAAACTATTTGTTTTTGGTTCCGCCAAATGATGAGAACCAAAGCACCACTGTATTTGCATATAACCCATGTACATCCTCCCAAACACTTCAAATCATCTGTTGATGACTTATAATACCTAATACAATGTAAATGCCATGTAAATAACTGCTGTATTATATTGTCTGGCAAGTACTGACAAGGGGAAATGTCTGTACCTGTTTGGTGCAGATACAATAAAAAAGTGCATTCAATCTGTATTTGGTTGAATCTGTGGGTGCATAATCCCTTGATACAGAAGGCTGACTTCAGAAGAAGTTAATGCACTAAACCTACATTTGTAATAACTTAGGCTCTTAGAGTTCTCATATATCACAGAGTCTGAGTAACACAAAAGACAAGTAATAAAAGTCCTCAAAAACAAAGCTGAAACTAAAAAAAGGAACAAAATAAGAGCTACCATTTGGGACAGAAAACGTTTTAATAAAATGAATCTCTAGAGCTTGTCCAAAGACTTCAAGCATCCTCAGTTTAGAGCATGATAAGAGATAGTCCAAAGCTGACTTGTGAGAAGGTAGACAACAGAACAAGGTCCCTTCACAGCCCCAGTTAAGCCAAATGCAAAGTGAAATTTGCCCAAACCTTGCCCCATTTTTTTCTTTTTTAGCAGGGCATCGCTCGCTACTGTAGGCAAGTTGGAGCTGACATTTCTAGCTAGGTTTCCAGGCATAGTAGTTTTTTAGTTCTTTTTTTTTATTGCATTTATTGGTACAATCTAGGTATACAGTACAGTTACATTCATTACTGGGATCCTGTACCTTCACATGACAGGTCTTGGTTCTCAGTTTTTCCCCTTGTCCCTGCCCTCCCTTCACCCCACTCCTTAATTCTTTTACATGTAAGAATCTACAGTTAAAAAACAGAAGTCAAATGGATTGGTTTTTCTTTGGTGGCAGTTATCAAATATTTTTAAAACAAAATCACAGGACCAAACAATTAAATCATTATTTATTACCTAATTAAAATTCATATCCACTTGCCATGAACCACATGCAGGAGCGCTCGGATTTCCTGCAGTCTGGCTTTTGCTGAGAGAATTTAATGGTCAGTCAGCTTTACATGGCCTTGGAAGTAATGCACCGCATTTAAAAAGCATGAGAAATGAATCCATGTGTTCCTTGAAGCAATGCTACAAAACAAATACAAGACAACTCCATCAAGCATTTTAGCAGTCCATTATCTGAAGAAACAGCTGGTGTCCAGAATCACTGTCAAGATAATACATGAGATGTCTACGAGCTGCCTGACTCATCAAGGTTGTTCGGAAGATATAAAGGAAGCCAGGGCTGTCTGTCCATCCAGTCTCCTGGAGGCACCAACTCGACATAGGTCTGCAAACACCTGTCTTTGTTTGAGAGCAGGTGAGAGTGCTCGAATGACTCATGCTTGGCCCCATCGCTCACCACCACCGCCAGGAAAATAGCCCTGAGACTCACCTGCTGACAAGCGGCAGGGGCCCCTCCTGACAGGGCAAGAGCAGCCCAATGTTCTCTGCTCGACTAAGCAGTAGTAACAACACCCCAAATGTAAAATCACAGCAAACGGTCCTTGGCTAACCTAAGTTTGGTTACAGAAGCTGACCTCATCAGCCACATTAAACGTGTTCTCCAACACGTGTTAGGAGAGTGAGAGGCCTGCAGTATGTGGCGGTATGCGGCGGGATTTCTGAGAGAGAAGGAAGGCTTCAGACAGGGGCTGCCATCTGGTGATACTCACTGCCCAGGGACAAAGGCCTTGTATTCAGGCCAGAGAAAAAGAGTGAAGAGCGATCAAGAGGGACTTTAAAGTTCATTTCTTTAGATTCTACGTGTGCCGAAACTGTAAAATTTGCCACCTTTTAAGTGTATAGTTCAATGGTGTTAAGTACACTCACATTTTTGTACTACCATACCATCACTCACCTCCAGAACTCTTTCCTTTTGCACAACTTAAATTCTGCCCACTGAATGACCTCCTGCTCTCCACACCACCCCACACCTTTGGCTTTCTCCACTGTGCTTTGTCTATGAATTGGACAATTCTAAGTACCCATGTAACAGAATCACACAGTATCTGCCCTTCTGTGACTGGTTTACTTCACGTAGCATAATGTCCTTACAGTCCATCCGTGTAACAGCATGTGTCAGGAGTCTCTCTCTGGCAAAGCAACATTCTGTCACATGTATAAGCCACAATTTATTATCCATTCATCCATGGACAGACACTGGTTTGCTTCCACCTCTAGGCTCTTCTGAATAATACTGCTATCAACATGGGTGTTCAGATATTGCTGAGACTCTGCCTTCAATTCTATGGGGTCTGTACCCAGAAGTGAAAGTGCCAGATCATCAGGTTATTCTATTTCCGGTTCTTTGAGGAATTGCCACACTGTTTTCCACAACTGCTGCACCATTTTACATTCCCACTTAACAGTATGAGGGTTCCAAGGCCTCCCAATCCTCAGCAATACTTGTTTCCTGGATGTTTTTGGTGTTTATATCTGATAGTAGTCATGATAATGGGTAGATGTGTCTTCTCAGTGTGGTTTTATTTATACTTCCCTAGTGATTACTCATATTGAACATCTTTTCATGTGCTCCTAGGCTATTGTGTATGTTTTTTTGGAGGGTTCAGTAATAGCTTTGGAAGTTAATGAGAGGGGAAGCAATGACAACAGACTTAAATTTCTTTAAAAGGCCAAAGACCAGTCTCCTGCTTGAGTCTATATACACACACATTTTTAGTTGGACAAGGAAAAAAAGTCAAACAGCCTTTCCACTTAGCAGCAGCAGGAAGTCTAATAGCTCATTTGAGTCTATTAAACCGAGGCCAGCATCTAATTAATGAGGTTGAAATGGAGCTGGCTATGCTCTGGCCACTTACTTTATAACGGGCAGCTCTCCCACACATCCAAAAACGGAAGAGCCATGCCTGGCTCCGTCTCTGACACTGGAACTAGACTGAAAACCCCACCCTTTAAAAGTTTAAAACCTGAGGTGCTGCTGTCTTTTCTCTCTCACTTTTTAGTTACTTATTTTGTAATTTAGGGAGTTAAACCTACAATGAGAAGATCAGAGTGAGCCCATGCATTTATTTACTTTTGTCAAGACCACGGTCTGGGGATGGTCCAGAGGGGAAGGACTCCTGACCTCTCTTTGTTGGCCTTTGTGGTCTGCCAGTGCACACGGCACAGCCCCCAGCTCCCATGGCTGCAGAACAAAACTGCCAGCGAGAGGCCAGCTGTCAAATGCTCCCAGAAACACAAAGGCCAGGACTCGAAACTAGAATAGAGCTCCAAGGTGGGGAAGCTATGCACCGGCAGCAGGTTAGAACCTAAATGCATCTCACTACACTTGAAATTAAATAGCTTAATCCTTTATTTCATGTGATATTTCAAGAACAGCAGCATGAGACTCCCCCCTTTACTGGACACTGTCTACCACAGGCTTGGACACACCTGTAGACCTGGATGAAAGCAGCTTTGTATGTTGGAAGGCTGATTTGGACCCTGACCAAAAGCAGGAATCTTCCCCACTGGGCACAGTTGAAATGTGCTGCATACCAGGAGGATGCACTTCCATGATGAAGACAGAACAGCCCAGACAACAGCAACCAGGCAGCAAGGGAAATGAAGGACAATGCGCATCTCTACAGAGGCCTGATGCTGGCCAGATGTTCAACATGTCTGGTCAACTCTGGCTGTAAAAAAGCAAACGCCAAACACAGACAAACTGTAGCAGGAAGAATGTGTCCAATAATTTTGAAAAATGTATTGACAAGAAGGGGAATCCCTGGGGAAAACTATGTAATTATTGTCCCTAAGGAGTTTGACAAATTGGACAGATATGTATTTGCCATGCTTCAGCTATGGTTTTTGCATGGAACCTAAGAGAATAAATAAACCCAATTTTCAGCACCCTCTGGCCCCAACTCTTGTATTAAAGTAATTTTATGGTAGTCAGGTTTAAAAACTTTTTTATTGATAGGAAGGGAGCTGAAAATAAAAAACAGATTTCCAGATTTAAAAAAAGAAATAGTTAAAAAGGGCCTGGTGTCTGAAAATAGCAAGAATGTACATTGTGTATACTAACTTGTAATGATACATCTTATGGTAAGGTAATTGTACATATTAATTGGGTTATATTAATATGTAGTAAAGCCCAGAGCTGAAAGAGAGGTGACATAAATGAAGTCATTCTGGAATAAGTAATATGGACCTATGACAGGAAATATTTAGCACATATTGTTTGCTTTCTATATACTGTATTACTTTTTACTTATATAACCATAATAATATATTCAAATATTTTTAATTGGCCACAAACCATAAATCTTTTAAAAAATTCTTATGTTTCATTTTGTGCATTCCCCACTCACTTAAATATGCTACGCAGATTTTTAAGCTAAAATCACAAGCAAGAATGAAGTGTTTCAGATTTCAAATTGTGATCAATTACCAAACCAGAAATGCCCAGTGATGTGGAGGAATTTCACAAATATGCCCGTCACAATCCCAACAGCTGCTGTGACCTACTGAAAGCCAGAGGAAAATTCCTTTCAGGAGGAGGAAATTCAAGATTTGCTTTATCTTCATCCACCTTGAGGCTGGGTGCACAGAGGGGTCTCAGTACCAAAATCTCTACTCCCAGGTGTACAGGGTCTGCAACAGGTAAGGAGGAGCACAGGCTCGGCTGTATCCAGACTGAGCTGGCTGCCCAGATTCAAAGCAAGAGGAACCTGCAAGTGGGCAGATGGTGCTGTGAGGGGCCTTCCAGGAGGGCCAGGGGCTGTCAGGCCCTGAGACCACTGCAGAAAGGCAGATTTATGGCTGGGCTAGACAGGAGCTCAAGTTCTACCACCAGGAGACCACCTGTCTCTACCAGGAGACACCAAGGACCTTCACATAATTCCAGAACAATGTTTGTGCTCCACGAGGACCTTCCTCATTGCCCCAGGCAAATCCTTCAGACAGACAAAAGCCAGCTAAGTAAAGGGGTAACCATCATAGTCTCTACTTGGCTCCCTTTAGTGGGAAAAGTGAGGGGAAAGCTTGAATAATTAAGGAGATAAGTCTCAGAATTTAGTCTAGTTTGTGTCAGAGAACATGGGTTAACATATCTTCTATATGCCATATTAGACTTTGGGCAAATTGCTTACAATTTCCGGATTTTATTTTACTCTTTGGAGCCAGAAGATAAATATATTCATCCCACCTATCTCATAGATTGAGATCAAGTGTGGAAATAGATGTAAAACCACCTGAAAAGTTGTGAAAAACAACACAGTACTATTATTAACTTTGAGCTATAAAGCTAATTTTGTGAACTGTGACATCAGATTTATTATAACTTTCATTTGCTATCTTTCATTATTAATTAGTAAATATTAAATATATTTATAGCTAAACTGGAATTTTCTTAGTTCTATTGTTAGCATGTGTCTGATTTTGATCAATTCGCCAAATTATTATAGCATACAAAACTACCTAATTTGTAATGCTAAAATTAAAAGAACAAATATGCCTCAAAATCTAAGACAAATGCATTCAGCTGTGTCAAGGATCCACATATGAACTTTGTAAATATTGCCAGAACCTGCCTCTCAAGTCAATGAACTGCACTCCAAATACACGAATTGAATACCAAGACTTGAAGGAGCTCAGTTCTAATTATAAGAAGACTTGAATCCAATTTGTGTAAAGAAGCAAGCAAAAGGAACATCTGTTTCCACAGGAATAGTGCTTAGGAAGAGTAATCTTTACAAATAGAGTGCGCAGAAGGCAAGCTGCTGCCAAAGGCCTCAAAGGCTAAGATCCATTGTTGGGCTCTGCTGGTTCCCTTTCACTGCAGCAGGTCTCCTCCCAAATGCACATTAAAGGATGAATGGACAAAGCAAGCTGCATCTCTGCACGCCTGAGAACAAGGATCTCAGTGGACAAGCATGGCTGATACTCAACTAGGGGAAAGTAATAAATTCCAGAGAGACAATGGCCCAGCATTCTCACATAATTCATCACCTTAGTAAGTCAATTTAGGACAACTAGCGTCTGATAAACTCACACCTGTTTTACAAAAACCCTAACATCTGCAATGTTGCTTACGTAAGTGTTGATCAAACTATGGGTCACAGTTCCATTAATAAATCGATACG